TAAAAACTTTCACTGTTTGTTATCCGGTATATAATTTATTCTCTTACTTGTGTATTGTTTTAAATTATTATCATTTTAGACGGGAAGATGAGCTGCAAAATGGATTTCTGTAAGTTTTGTGTGATGGAAAAACAATAACCAAAAAGATGGTATTTTAGAAATAAAAATTGATCGCTGGGTATTGGATATATGATTATTCTCTTACTTGTGTATTGTTTAAAATTATTATCATTCTAGATAAGATGAGNTGCAAAATGGATTTATGTAAGTTTTGTGTGATGGGAAAACAAAAATAACAAAAAATAGTATTTTAGAAATAAAAATTGATCTTCATGGTATTGGATATATGATTTATTCTCTTACTTCTGTATTGTTTCAAAATTATTATCATTATGGACAGAAAGATGATCTGCAAGATGAATTTCGGTAAGTTCTATGTGATTGGAAAACAGTCCAAGGTGTCTTTCAAGATAAGTGAACACACGACAAGAGTCTTTTAGACTATGTCCATTCTAAGAGCATAATCAATGGTAGTTTGTTAATTTGGGGTTCTAAGTGATTTTTTTTATTATAAATTATTTTTGGGGTTCTAAATCTCTAAAATTAGAACCTTTTTATTGGGGTTCTAAGTATTTTGTGTATTATTTAATTGTTTTTAATCTTTTAGAAACCTATTAAAAACCACTAAACACTACCATTGATCATGCTCTAAAATACTATGTTTATTTCTTGGGACAATTACAAAAATGCCACTTTTTGTGTGCACATTTGCAAGAATGCCACTTAGGGGGTGTCCATTTACAAAAATGCCACTAATTATAGATTTATAAAACCTATATCTTAAAATTTTAAACCCTAAAAAATGTTTTGACACCTAAAACCCCCTAAACACTCAAAACTAAACCCTAATAGAACATAATTAATCCAAACATAAATAATATAAAGAAAATATAATTTTGAAAAAGAGGTATTTTTGTAAAGATTTCGAAAGTGTGGCATTTTTGTAAAGTGGCACTTGAAAAGTGACATTTTTTGAAATTTTTCTTATTTCTTTTAGTAGCATAAAACTCAGCCTAAATAATTTTCCATCATGGGCAATCGTTTTATTAATATACCTGTCTATTAATAATAAAATGAGTACATTGGTCTAGACCTCTCCATGGACTCTGAGTTATAAAAAAAAAAGGAAAAANGGTTAATTAGCTGAATATTACTTTTGAGACCAATAATTAGGAAATTAACATGTCCAAATAAATATTTAGGTAACTAGGAGAGACAATTAAAAATATGACAAAAATACCCTTACAACTATAATTAAGGTAAATATGTATAACAAATCTCTAAAAATCTTCTCTTGATTTCATCCATGGAAGATTGCTCCCGCGATTATCTCAGCAAAAAGTAGATTTGTGTTTTGCACAATTGTTATGGAAAAACAAAAATTGGATTACAAAATGACGTAATAGTTAACTACATAGTAACATACTTAACTATTTTCGAAACATCTCTAAATATAGTTAACTACATCAGATTATTTGTTACTATCTAAAATATAGTTAACTATTTTCAAAAAATAGTTAGCAACTCAAAAACATATTTAACTATTTTCATAGCATAAGTCATTTACTCTACTGATTTCAAGCATAGTTGACTACAAGAAAATGTTGTTGTAATAGTTAGTTATTTAAACAATCATAGTTAACTAATTTAAAATGTAATTATCTATCATAATGAAAAGAATAATATACATGGTTAACTATCATCAAAAATATGGTTACCTATTATAGTTTGCATAGTGACAAATAATAATATACGTAGTTAACTATTATCAGAAACATAGTTACCTATGATACAAATTTCTGTGCATAGTTAACTATATCGATTTTCAAGTGGCGGCTCAGTTTGATCAAGAGAAAGGACAAAAGGAGTTTAATGGAGGAGATGAAATATCATCTTAACCATGGTTAGAGATTTTTGATTCATGACAATAAAATAACAGAAAGTGATTGAGAATTGATTTTCTGGATCTCTCGAAAGAGACGAGATCGAGTATCGTGTTTGTAT